CCTTTTTATCCTCCATCCTCTCTTTCTTCTTCTCCTCTTCTTCCTCTTCCTCTTGTTCCTCCTCCTCCTCTTCTCTCCTCCTCCTCAGTCTACTGTTCCAGGAGTCGAAGTATCTTTGAGTCCTTACCATTAATTTCTTCTGTGGAAGGAGGAGGAGGACGAGGAGAAGCAGCAGTAGGTGGGGAAGAACTCGAGAGATTGGAGAAAGAGAGTTCGAGGAGGAGGAGGAGGAGAAGAAGGGTGTTAGTGGTGGAGAAGAGCCCAAGGAAGAAGAGTTTGAGGTGGAGGAGGAAGAGGATTAACAATAACAACAACAATAATAACAATACTAATAATAACAATACTAATAATAACAATAATGACAACAATAATAATAACAATAATAACAGCTTACGATACCATCTGCCAGAGCCAACACACAGGTTCCTCACTGGCGAGCTTCCAGTATTTAAAGAACGCGTAATAATTCTTGTGGGAAACGCCTCAGTAAACGCCGAGAAGGGACTCTGCTGACTGGCTGGTTGCTTCTGTTTTGACGCTGTACGCAAGAGGGATGGCGGTGTGGCAGGGAAGTGGTGATCATCGGGAGTTGGGAGATGTTATCGTTTTGTTTTAGTGAGAGAGAAAGATTTGTTTTAAGAGATTATCGAGGGTTTTTTGAGCGAAGATTATCGATTTTCTTTGTTTGCAGAGAGAGAAAAAAAGAGAGAGATTATCGATTTTTCTTTGTTTTTGAGCGAGAGAGAGAAAAAAAAGAGAGATTATCGATTATTTTTTTAATTATTGATGGTTTTGACTTGACTCTCACACACTCAAGTGCCACGTCTCTGTTTTGGAAGAGGAATATTTCTGCCATCCATTCTTAACAGGACTTGACAAGCATCTGTATGTCATGTTGGCCTTAAGAAAAAAATCACCTTTCATCCATCTCATCATTAAATCATCATCGTCATTATTAATCATCACCATCATTAATCATCATTGCCATTATTACACACGACTGTTCAAGTATTATGATTTGTTATTATACTTTATTATTTATCAAAGGAGTTTTATATAATGTTTCTTTCAAGTATAATTACAAACTGCGGTATTATGGTGTGTGTTAGTGTAGGTGTAGGGAAGGTAGTGTAGTGAAGGGAAGGTAGTGTGGTGAAGGAGTGGTGTGTGGTGTAGTGTGGAGTGAATATATCTTGCTGGAGGCTAGACCCAGGAAGTGAACAGGGGTGAAAGCGCGCCCTGTGCAGCAGCCTGTGTTACTCCAGCCACGCTAATGTTGCTTCCTGTGGCCTCCGGAACTGTGTGAGTGAAGCTGTTCTGGCTTGTGACTCCTCTCTCCCCACTCCCTTCATCCACTACTCCTTCCCCCACTCCCTCCCACCACCCACCATCATCCTCATCAGCTGGTAGTGTGTGTCAGCCATCACTATCAGCTGGTAGTGTGTCAACCATCACTATCAGCTGTTAGTGTGTGTCGCCATCACTCAGCTGTGTGTCAGCTTTGTGGTGTGTGTTTTTGTGGGTGTCATCACTATCAGCTGGTAGTGTGTGTCAACCATCACTCAGCTGGTAGTGTGTGTAACCATCACTATCAGCTGGTAGTGTGTCAACCATCACTATCAGCTGGTAGTGTGTCGCTATCACTATCAGCTGGTGGTGTGTTATCGTCACTATCAGCTGGTAGTGTGTGTCAACCATCACTATCAGCTGGTAGTGTGTGTCAACTATCACTATCAGCTGGTAGTGTGTGTCAGCCATCACTATCAGCTGGTGGTGTATCAACTATCACTATCGGCTGGTGGTGTGTCAGCCATCACTATCGCTGGTAGTGTGTGTCAACTATCACTATCAGCTGGTAGTGTGTGTCACTATCAGCTGGTAGTGTCTTTTTGTGGGTGTGTGTCAGCCATCACTATCAGCTGGTAGTGTGTCCTCATCACTATCAGCTGGTAGTGTGTGTCAGCCATCACTATCAGCTGGTGTGTGTCACATCACTATCAGCTGGTAGTGTATGTCACCATCACTATTGCTGGTAGTGTGTGTCAACCATCACTATCAGCTGGTAGTGTGTGTCAACCATCACTATCAGCTGGTAGTGTGTGTCAACCATCACTATCAGCTGGTAGTGTGTGTCAACCATCACTATCAGCTGGTAGTGTGTGTCAACCATCACTATCAGCTGGTAGTGTGTGTCAACCATCACTATCAGCTGGTAGTGTGTGTAACATCACTATCAGCTGGTAGTGTTTCACCATCACTATCAGTGGTAGTGTGGTCAACATCACTATCAGCTGGTAGTGTGTGTCAGCCATCACTATCAGCTGGTGGTGTGTGTCAACCATCACTATCAGCTGGTAGTGTGTGTCAACCATCACTATCAGCTGGTAGTGTGTGTCAATCACTATCAGCTGTGTGTGTGTCATGGTGGTTTGGTGTGTGTACCATCACTATCAGCTGTTCCTCGATATTTTTTGTCATTTGCTTCTCATTGGATGTCTGTCTGTCTGTCTGTCTGTCTGTCTGTCTGTCTGTCTGGCTGTCTTGTGTAGATAAGACTGATATAGAAATGTATTTTAACTGGTGATAACGCTTCACTAATACCGTCTGTCAGGGGATGGTGAGGTGTGGAGGGAGACTTAACTCACTGACAGACAGATACTCTCCTCTCTCTCTCTCTCTCTCTCTCTCTGTATTATTCACATGTTATATAATTAAGTCAGCGTTGCCAACTAACACTTGCTCACACGTGACTCACAGCTACAGGTGTGTGGGGGAGGGGAAAGAACTGGCGGTGTTGCCATATGGTGGGTGGTGAGATATACAACCTAGTAGTATTTCCTCTTATTATTTTGTTGTTGACGTGTTGTGAATTAGCTTTTTGTGATGGTTGTAATAATGGGGTAATGGGTTTTTTTTTAAGGAGAGGAAATGGGGGTAAATAAGGGTATGGGGAGGTGTAAGGTGTTGTAAGGTGTGTGGAGGGAGGGAGGGAGGGAGCAGACTGGAACACTTGTAGGGCGCTCCACGTCACCTAGAATGCCTGACTCCCTCTCTCTCCTCCTTCATGACCGCTCCTCTCCCTCCCTCCTTGTTATTTTACCCGTCTCCATTTCTGTGTCTTTCTTCTTGCCTTCACGCCCTGTAACTACCTTGCCTCCCTCCTTCCTCCTTTTCTGCCTATTTTATAACCTAATCTTCCTTTTTATTTCCTTTGACATTCTCCCTCACTAATCTGCTTCTCCCCTTCTCTGTAGCCTCCCTACCTACCATCCATCATTCCTACCACCCTTCCTTCCTTCCTTCCTTCCTCATGACACCAACTCCCTTCCTCTTAACCAGCCTTTCTTTCCTCCGTCCCTCCTGCCCTCCCTTTCTCCCTGCTTTCCCTCCTCCATTCCTGCTTTCCCTCCTTACCCTTCTACCCTCCCTCCCTCCCTTGAAACAAGGCTTATAAAGTACTTGGGTTCACACAAAGGAGTGTTAGCTACAAGACTAGCGAGGTCATCCTAAAACTATATCTTAGACTTGTGAGACCTCACTTGGTTCGCAGTTCAGTTCTGGTCACCGGATTACAGAATGGATATAGAATCCTTAGAAAGAATTCAGAGGAGAATGACAAGACTATTCCCGGGCATTAGGAATGTGAGTGCAGAGACAGGTTAAAGCACCTTTGTACTCCCTCGAGAGACGTAGAGTGAGGGGCGATATGATCGAGATGTATAAATGGATGTCAGGGCTAAACAAAGGTGATATAACAAAGGTACTCAAACTATCCAACCAGGAGCGAACTCGTAACAATGGTTTTAAATTTGACAAATTTAGATTTAGGCGCGAGATAGGTGAACATTGGTTTGGAAATAGAGTAGTGGATGAGTGGAACAAGTTACCAAACATCATCATTAACTCAAATACCCTGGATAGCTTCAGACATAGGTTGGATGGATATATGAGCGATGGGGGTTGGGTGTAAACGGGACTGCCCAGTATGGGCCAATAGACCCGCTGTAGTTTCCTCCACTATTGTGTCTCTCTCTCTCTCTCTCTCTCTCTCTCTCTGTGAGATAAATTCCGTCATCTTCTCTCTCCCGCCTACCTGCTTGCCTGTCGGCCTTCAGTCTCACTTCCACCAGATGACGGATCTTTGAGCGGAAACTGAGAGCGGATGTAGTTCAGTGTGAGAGAGAGAGAGACGCACCTCAAAATTTTCTCATTAAACTGATTGGTGGTGATGCGAGACTGCTTATTAGTGGGTTCATAAGAGCTGCAGTGTTGAGTGGCGTTCACACCGAGGATCAGCTGTACCATGGACCGTTCTCCCAACCTCAGCCTAGAGGGGATACATCGTTACAGTATGTCTTCATGTCACGTCCAGGAGAAATAAAATTTTTAACTTTGGTTTGGGTTGTGGTCGTTCCTTCCTCCTCCTCTCCCTCCCTCCCTCCCTCCTCCTCCTATACCACTACCGTCACTACCCCTTCCCCCAACACCATCAACATCCCCCTCCTCCAACACCAATTCCTCATCCACCACCATCACCTCCTGCTGTGTTCCTCTCGCCTCCTGGTTTAGTCTCTTGTGAAAGGAGGAGGAGGAAGGGAGGGAGGGAAGACTATGTATCTGTCCAGTGATGACTTTTAAGTATATGTCAATAGAATATGTTCCATGTATACCACTGGATTGTGTATATGTATATGTATACCCACAAACAATATACGTATATAGAGGAGAACATTCACGTATTTTATATAGTATTTTCCAGCACCTATATATTAGATATATATTCATGTTTATTACAGATATAAAATGAATACCAATGAAATATTTTGCATTCATATATACCCAAAGTATCTCACTAAAGGGTTAAATTTACTGGGGGTTTTTTTCATATCTTTCTATCTCAAATATCAAAGTCAGCCATGCATAACACTCACGTTCTTTCTGCCATGACATCTAAATTATTCCATTTTTTTAATTTATTTATTTTTTCTGTCTTTTCTCAGGTCACAGATTCGTTCTACCCGAGACAATATTGATTCGACTTGAGCCCGGCATCTGGTGAGTGTTCAGTGTCCTTGTTGACTTGTGTGAGGGAGGTGTGGTGGCTGGTTCTCCCTGTAGTGAGTAAGCTTCTGTGAGTCAGGACCTCATCAGTGACTAAGAGCTCCTTTGTATAGCTTGGGGTCTGTATGTTTGATAATAATCTTTGGACTCTATAGGAGGGTAAATATTTTAATTCTTAAAGTAATAGAAAATCGTTTTTTTTACAAGTTTTCTTTAGTTAAAAATAAATTTCTTTCTTTTTTGTGTAATGTGATTTATTTTATCATCCCAAATACAAAAATTAAATGTATATGTATAAATTATGGATAGGTAAAGTAATGTATTCTTTTGTTTAACCCTCTGTCTCTGCTGGCGGAATAGAGCGATCAGGGTATATAATATTTGTAGGTTGTGTTTTAAAAGGATTTGTTTGCCACTCGGAACAAATCAGTGTTTTAATATAGATGAATGAGATGTACACACACCATGATCGTTCCCTGATAATAAATCCGCCCGTTTATCCGCCCGTCTATCCGTCCGTCCGTCCGTCGTCTGCCCTGCTAACTGGTCGAGGGAAGGGGTGACGTATTATAATTGCTGCTGTTGTTGTTAGGGACACAGTTAGCTACGTTGCCACATCCTCAGATAAGAGAAACAACAAATTACCTTAAGAGTGTTTGAGAATCTTGGCTATAAGAGTCGTAACTTGGTGGTGGTACGAGAGGAAGAATAGGATAGTCATATACTCTTTCATGGCGGGAGGTGTAATGTTTATACTCTTGTTGCTCAGCTGGTTAGGTTAGGTTAGGTCAGGTCAGGTCAGGTTAGGTTAGGTCAGGTCAGGTCAGGTCAGGTTAGGTTAGGTTAGGTCAGGTAGGGTCGGTGGTCAGGTTAGGTCAGGTCAGGTCGGTTAGGTCAGGTCAGGTCAGGTTAGGTTTAGGTTAGGTCAGGTCGGGTCAGGTTAGGTTGTGCTGTGTTGTGACGTAGTATTGGGTTATTTAATATGCGAGCTGGGGTGCCTAAACTTCCTGACTCCCAGAAAGTCATTATACCTCGGAAAGTTTTAAAATAAGAGAATAGTTTTAGCATAGTCTACCATCTGTGTTATAAGAAAACGGTATATGGATCATTATTTTCTCTTCAGTGAAATCTCTTGTTGGGTCTTGAAATATATTGACTTGGATAAACAATGCATCTATATATACAATGAAACCTCTATATAACGGACTGTGGAGAGGAAAGTACGTTATATCGAGGTTTCACTTTGAAACGTGGGTGTGGGAGAAGAGACGTGGGTGAGGGAAGGAACACGGGTGAGGGAGAAGGAACACGGGTGAGGAAGGAACGGATGAGGAGAACCGGGTGAGGGAAAGGAACACGGGTGAGGAAGAGAACACGGAGGGAAGGAACACGGATGAGGAAAGGAAACACGGATGAGGGAAGGAACACGGATGAGAAGGAACACGGGTGAGGGGGAAGGAACACGGGTGAGGGGAAGGAACACGGATGAGAAAGGAACACGGATGAGAAAGGAACACGGATGAGGGAAAGAACACGGGTGAGGGGGAAGGAACACGGGTGAGGCGTGGGTGAGGGGGAAGAACACGGGTGAGGAAGAACACGGATGAGGGAAAGGAACACGGGTGAGGGAGAAAGGACACGGATGAGAGAAGGAACACGGGTGAGGGAGAAGGGACACGGATGAGGGGAAAGGAACACGGATGGGGAGAAGGGACACGGATGGGGGGGAGAAGGAACACAGGTGAGGGAGAGGAACACGGATGGGGAAGAACACGGGTGGGGAAGGAACACGGGTGAGGAGAAGAACACGGGTGAGGGGAGAGGAACACGGATGAGAGAAAGGAACACAGGTGAGGAGAGGAGACACGGGTGAGGAGAAGGAACACGGATGGGGGAGAGGAACACAGGTGAGGAGAAAGGAACACGGGTGAGGGGGGAAGGAACAGGGATGGGGAGAAGGAACACGGGTGAGGGGAAGAACACGGGTGAGGGGAAAACAACATAGGTAGGGTGTCCACTTGGTATCATGAGGCTAGTGACTCACTCTTCACCTGTAAAAAGGTGTCAGGTGAGTCAGGTGTTTAATTAACGGGACAGTTCGTAATCACATACTTTAGAGTAAAGGAGTAAAAGATTATACTGTATGTATTGCATGGCTGTTGAAGAGATGATCATGTGGGTTACCTGCTAGCACTAATACTCTCTCTCTCTCTCTCTCTCTCTCTCTCTCTCTCTTTTCCTTTCTTAATCTTGGGTTATCTTGTTCAGCAGTAATAACGACCTGCCAGTCAGACAGCTCCGTGTTGTGTGTGTGTGTGTGTGTGTGTGTGTGTGTATAAGCAGTGGGTATTAACAGCAGGAAGTCATTCAGAAGATTGCCATTTATCTAGTAGGAAGACAGCAGGCAGGAGAGAGAGGAAGGTGGAGGCAGCAGGAGGGAGGGGGCAGGCAGCATAGGTGGGAGGTGGCAGCAGAGTGGGGGGGAGGCAGCAGGGGAGTGGGGGTAGGCAGCAGGGAGTGGGAGGGAGGCAGGGGAGTGGGGGTGAGCAGCAGAGAGTGGAGGGGAGGCAGCAGGGGTGGGGAGGCAGCAGGGAGTGGGGGGTGGGCAGCAGGGGTGGGAGGGAGGCAGCGGGGAGTGGAGGGTGAGCAGGGGTGGGGGGAGGCAGCAGTGTGTGGGAGGAGGGGGGGGGGGAGGCAGCAGGAGTGGGGGAGGCAGCAGGGTGGGGTAGGCAGCAGGGGGTGGGAGGGCAGCAGAGAGTGGGGGGGCAGCAGGGGGGAGGCAGAGAGTGGGGGGGAGGCAGCAGGGGAGGGGTGCAGCAGGGAGTGGGGGAGGCAGCAGGGGTGGGGGTGGCAGCAGAGAGTGGGGAGGCAGCAGAGTGGGAGGCAGCAGAGTGGGGGAGGCAGCAGAGAGTGGGGAGGCAGCAGAGAGTGGGGGCAGCAGAGAGGGGAGGCAGCAGGGGTGGGGGGTAGGCAGCAGAGAGTGGGGAGGCAGCAGAGAGTGGGAGGGAGGCAGCAGGGGTGGGAGGGTGAGCAGGAGAGTGGGGAGGCAGCAGTGTGTGGGAGGGAGGCAGCAGGGGAGTGGAGGGTGGGCAGCAGGGGAGTGGGGGGAGGCAGCAGGGAGTGGGAGGGTAGGCAGCAGGGGTGGGGGGAGGCAGCAGGGGTGGGAGGTGGGCAGCAGAGTGGGGGGCAGCAGGGGTGGGGGAGGCAGCAGGGGTGGAGGGTAGGCAGCAGGGGTGGGGGGAGGCAGCAGGGGTGGGGTGGAGGCAGCAGGGGTGGGGGGGGCAGCAGGAGTGGAGGGTAGGCAGCAGGTGTGGGGGGAGGCAGCAGAGTGTGGGAGGAGGCAGCAGTGTGTGGGAGGAGGCAGCAGGGAGGGGGAGGCAGCAGGGGGGAGGGGGGCAGTGTGTGGGAGGGAGGCAGCAGTGTGTGGGAGGAGGGCAGCAGTGGGGAGGGCAGGGAGTGGGAGGGGGCAGCAGGGGTGGGGGGAGGGCAGCAGGGGTGGGGGGGAGGCAGCAGGGGAGTGGGAGGAGGCAGCAGTGTGTGGGAGGGAGGCAGCAGTGTGTGGGAGGGAGGCAGCAGTGGGTGGGAGGGAGGCAGCAGGGAGTAGGAGGGAGGCAGGGAGTGGGGGAGGCAGCAGGAGTGGGGGGAGGCAGGGGAGTGGGGGAGGCAGCAGGTGTGGGGAGGGGAGGCAGCAGTGTGTGGGGAGGGAGGCAGCAGGGAGTGGGGAGGCAGCAGGGTGGGGGGCAGCAGTGTGGGAGGAGGCAGCGGGGGTGGGGGGGCAGCAGGGGTGGGAGGCAGCAGGTGTGGGAGGGGCGGCAGGGGTGGGGGAGGCAGCAGGGGTGGGGGGAGGCAGCAGTGTGTGGGAGGGAGGCAGCAGGGAGTGGGAGGGGCAGCAGAGGTGGGGGGGGAGGCAGCAGTGTGTGGGAGGGAGGAGGGGAGTGGGAGGCGGCAGAGTGGGGGAAGGCAGCAGTGTGTGTGGGGAGGGAGGCAGCAGGGGAGTGGGGGGGCAGCAGGGGGTGGGGGGAGGCAGCAGTGTGTGGGAGGCAGCAGGGAGTGGGAGGGAGGCAGCAGGAGTGGGGGGAGGCAGCAGTGTGTGGGAGGAGCAGCAGGGAGTGGGAAGAACCTGCTGGCGTCGTGCTCCCCTGGGCCACCTGCTTAGTCAGTTTTATCTCTGAATATTCCTCTCAAGATATTGTGTATTTCCTCCGTCCCTCCCTCTATATTCTCTCCCTCCCTCTCTCCTCCCCAACTTCTACCTCCTATTCCTCCCTTCTCCTCCCTTACATTGCTCACTACCAACACCTACTCTACTAGTTCTCTCTCTCTCTCTCTCTCTCTCTCAAAATAAATATCAACAATGTTAACTTAATAACCTCGACCAAGTAACCTTTATATTTTAACAAGAGTTTATAAGACCTTCACCCACCCTGTCCTTAACTCAAGCTTCAGGGAGGCGTGGGTCCTGTCTGAACTTTAACTACAAGGTCAAAGGTCACCATGATGCGTTTCTAGGTCAAAGGTCACCATGGTGTGTTTCCATGGTCAAAAATTACCATGATGTGTTCCTAGGTTAAAGGTCACCATGATGTGTTTCTAGGTCAAAGGTCACCATGGTGTGTTTCTAGGTCAAGATCACCATGATGTGTTTCTAGGTTAAAGGTCACCATGATGTGTTTCTAGGTTAAGGTCACCATGATGTTTTTTAGGTCAAGGTCACCATGATGTGTTTCTAAGGTCAAAGATCACCATCATGTGTTTCTAGGTTAAAGGTCACCATGATGTGTTCCTAGGTCAAAGGTCACCCATGATGTGTTGCTTTAACCATCTTGACTCTTGTTTAATGTGTCATATGTTAACTGTTTATGGATTTTAGTTTTATTTGACTTTTTGGATATAAGTCAAAGTAAAAAAAAATCAGAGTTTATTCAGTATTTTCAGATATATTGATATGAATTAAAAATATATATACTGAGAGAGAGAGAGGATGTCAAGCACTA